AATAACAAGTACAATAACAATAATGACAATAAATACAAGAGTACAGTAAGTAAATCAACTCAAGAACTTTCGATCACAAAGAAACGATAGAACCAGTTCATAAGGAATAACTACAATAGAGAATACTAGGCGTAACAAGAACATCTCAACAAGGGAGAAGTAATATGTAACAACGATCCCACAATAGGTAGTTCAACAACAAGGGGGCTAACACGAGTCAAATAATTCCAAATAAGGACATGTCAACTAAGAAATATGATATCTAAACTTCCTTTGAGGCTAGGAAATTACGAAGGAGATATAACAAATTTAATTAAGGATAAGCAGCGGAAAGATAATCATAACCTCAATTAAGGATTCCAATTAAGGGGAAACAATTAGGGAGGGGTAGCATGGTAATAGAAGAGGTGACAACCTCAGTTATGTCATATAACAGTCAAATATGCAATAAGAGTGGAACATGAAGCAATTAATCTAATTAAAGCATGTAAAGGTGAAAACTAGTAAAGGGGAACTCAATTATAACAAAACAACTTCATATCTAGCGAACACAAAGACCTAAGAACCCTAAAAGGCCAACTTTCCACAAATAAGCCTGAGCACGTACTCGTCACCTCGCATACACGGACTACAATTAGCAAAGAAGACTCAAATCCTAAGGGGTAGCTCCCCCACACGAAGATAGGCAAGGTACTTCCTCAAAGAAGACAAATCGATACTCAAAAATGAACTTCTCGGGTGAAATGACCTCCGGACGGCTCAAATCTAGCCAAAATAACTTCAAAGCATAAATAAAACTCATAAGAAACTATTCCGAATCATAAAGCCTCAATCTTTGACAAAACCCAAAAATCACCCCAAAAGTCGACCCCCGGGCCCGCACCTCAGAATCCGATAAATTTCACAAAATTCGAACACGCATTCAGATCGAGTTCACCTATACTAAATTTATCAAATTCCGATACCATTTGGTCCTTCAAATCATCATTTTACATTTTTAAAAGTATTCTTCAAAATCCCCATTTTTTCTCAGCCCAAAACACTAACTAAATGATAAAAATAAAGATAAAATTATGGAATATAATAAATTCTAGGTGAAGAACACTTACCCAATCGATTTTTTTGAAAAACCCACGAAGAATCGCTCAAAACCGAGCTCTACAATTCAAGATATGATAAAAATGGCCTAAACCTCGATTTGGAAGATATATTCTGCTGCCCAGGCATCAAAGCATCGCGATCGCAGAACATCAAACACGATCGCGAAGAAGGAAAAGAGTGCTGCCCAGTTTGTGCTTTGCGAACGCGACAACACGCTCGCGAACTCGGAGAGGAAAAGTCTGATGGCTCACGACTGGCCTACGCGAACTCGTGTAATGATACGTTCATGAAGAATGGGGTGGCACACCTTTGCGACGCGAAGAGACGGATGCAAAAGGAAAGAGGGGATGGCAGACTTCCGGATCGCGGAAGGAGACATGCAAATGCAGAGAAGAAATAATTCATCCTCTAAGATTACTCTACGCGAACATGGAGGAAGTGACGCGAACGCGATGAAGGAAACCAGATGACAGAAAACAACAGTCCAAAAATGGAAGGAAATGGCCCGTAGCCCATCCGAAACACACCCGAGGCCCCCAGGATCCTGTCTGAACATACCAACAAGTTTCATAACCTAATACAGACTCGCTCGAGGTCTCAAATCACATCAAACAACATCGAAACTACGAATCGCACCATGAATCGAACATATGAACTTTCAAATTTTCCAACTTCTAAAACTCGCGCTGAAACCTATCAAATCAACCCGGAATGATGCCAAATTTTGCAGACAAGTCCCAAATGACATAACGAAGCTGTTCCAACTCTCGTAATTGCATTCGGACCCCAATATCACAAAATTCAACTATTGGTCAAACTTCTCCATCTTCCAAACTTCAACTTTTCTAACTTTCGCCGAAATGCTTCAAATTACTCTACGGACCTTCAAATCCACATTTGGATGCATGTCTAAGTCCCAAATCACCATACGAAGCTGTTGAAATTACCCAAAACCCATTCCGGAGCCGTTTACACAAAGTTCAAATTACTCATGCTGCACTTCTGCACTAAATGTGCAGGATCTGATAGGTTCATTTGATGGTCATTTGGGCGTGTAGGCGCAGCTGCTAACGGGACTTTATGGAAAGCTGCATTCCATGTTACGATTCGCAGCACACAGAGTCTCCATCATAATTATTTACTTTATCCTGTCTATCTTGTATTCTTGACAGATGTTGTATTTTTATTGTACTTCCTAGTAAATGCTCATGCACTTGTGACACATTTCTCAATTTGGAAATAATTCAAATTTAAACTCTTCATTTTACCCATTTTACCCTTAATGAGAAACTTTTATAACCACACAAAAGTCATGGCCCCACAGAGCTTTTACCCCTTAAGCTTTTAAGACCACAAGTTTCAAAAGTCTTCTTTTTTTCTCAAACTCCATGCCAAGTCAAAATACCTCATCTAGATTGAAATTGAGGGAGAAAGATTTATGATTTCAAAAATAATAAAATTAATAATTAAGTTGGTAGTTCACCGTTGGCTTGTCTAACGGCGACGTTGGGCGCCATCACGAACTATAATGAGTTTTGGGTCGTGACATGGTATGTGAAAATCGTAAGTTTGAAACTACTGTATTGTTGTCCCGGAGGTCATTGGGCCTGAATAATCGGCCCAGCAAGGCTGATAATTAGAGTGGAGTCATGAAGACTCTTGATCTATGGTTCAGTCCAATTATGGGTGTTCAAACAGCCTGTGGCATGTTTTGATTCTTAGAAAGTTTAGAGACGTTTTGGGCCTTAACCTGAGGCCCATTTTCATACTCACAGGTGACCTGTTAGGGGTCCATTTTGAGTATATTAAATGAACTGAGCTAGCAAATGTCACTATTCAGTAGTAATTTACATAGAATTAACGAATTGAAAAGAAGAACATAGTGTAATTGTAAACTACCAATTAACTAACGGGAACCCTCTGGTAATGTAGAACTTTTAATCTACAACTCTTTCAGCTTTTGTTAAGAAACAGACTTTTAACGTTTCATAGATGGCATAAATTTGTGAGAATTCCCTAACCTCAAACCTTTAATAAATCTCAAATCTTAGGAAATAAACAATTGATGAACATCGTAGCTTACTTTAGGCGCGATTAATAAATAAATAATTGTAGCTATAGGCACGTTTCCCATGGCATAGCCTGATACATAACTCCAAATTCGAGTGCGTGTTCACGTGACTCGACCTTACAACTTCGAAGTAATAATAAAATTGAACATGTTGTAAATTGCGGGTGCGTTTCGCATGGCGCAATCTGCGGTATGTATAAAACGACAAGTGTGTGACATCGTAACTTGTTTAAATAAATTCCATAAAAACACCAAAAATGATTAAAATATTTAGTTAAAATCGGTAAAATGTAAAAATGCACAATATGTCTAAAACATGTAATAATAAGATAATCAAGTCAGATGTAATTGTAAAGGGACCGTGCTGAAATCACAGAATCCGGGAGTACCTCACACCTTCTCCTGGGTTAACAGAATTCCTTACCCAAGACTTCTATGTTTCGAAGACTAATACAGAGTCAAATTTTCCTTGATTTGAGATTTAAAATAAATTAGTGACTTGGAACACCATAAATAAATTATTCCAAGTAACGACTATGAAAAAATAAAATAAAATAATCCCACTTAAATAATGTCACCTAAATTGGAAAAATTCTTTTCCCCGTAAAAAGGAGGTGTGACATCTCTGGCGACTCTGCTGGGGACACGAACCCAGAACATATGGTTCAGGATTCATAATTCGAGCATAGAATAACTGTTATACTTGACTTTCTTACGATTGTCTGATATTACATGTTTGAGCCTAATGTGCTAATTACCACTCTTTACCGCTTTAATATTGTTGTGAACTGTATATAAACTGTTACGACATGCTTCTTCTCTCTGATTCTTCTAAATCTTCTAGGAAACATGCGCTTCACGTGGCTTTTTTTCTATTATAGTGTCATACCTATAATTTTAGAACGAGGATCGGACCAGTTGCAAAGCCGGTGAATTTCTGTATTCCCAGTACGTTGCCCCCCTCGGCTTAAGTTGTTTGCTCGGGTAAGCCTAGTCTAGAACACTACACCTTATGCTTTAAACCTAGAAGAACAAAAACTCATTGCGGATCCCTAGTAGGTATGCTTGTTTGCATCACGTGCATTTGACTTTGGGGACTCAACACAAGGATTGGGTCCGTCTAGGTCAGGTGTACCCCAAAATAAAAGATCATCCTGATACATCTTACGTGCTAGTTGTTGCATTTGTTTGTTCTGGTTTGCATGTTGAATGGCTTATAGAATAGGGATAGAAAATCAAGAAAAACTAGGAAAAAGAAAATAGGAGAGAGAAAATTTACCAGGTTCCTGAAAATCTCGATTTTTGAAAAAAGAAAGAGAAAGAAAAATCCTAAAACTCTGTCGAATATTTAGAAGGTTGTTACAAAATGAGTCTAAATTTTCAGAAAAAAAAAACATTTTTTCTAATTTTGAAAATTTCCCCCGAACTACGTAGGTCTGATCCTCACCGGACGTGAGGTACGTAGGCAACCATCATCAGGTCCGGCCCCACTTTTGCGAAAATAACTAAAAATAGGAATATGGCAAATTTTTTGAAACATGGTCATCACCCTAAGCCGTTCTTGTCGAAATAACCTCAAAACGTTCTCCCAGGACGCCGGAATGTTGTTTTTGCAAGAATAACCACAATATTAACCTGAGTCAGTCTTTTCCCCATAATCAACACCATTTTGCAGAAACATCCCTAAAAACTTTTCCCAAGCGCTGAAGGGCCGTATTTGCAAAAACAATCCATATTTTGTCATTTAGTTATTAAACTGAATTTTCAAATTTAGCCACTTTGTGTTTTCTAAAACAATATCGGTTTTGACCCTTTGTCCTAATTTGCAATGAGCACTGTTGAGAATTTACCTTTTCGGATTGTAGACGAGATTCCATTGAGACTCCACATGTGGTGGAGTGACCTAGGGGAGGTCGGTCAGCGTTCCGTGACCAAGGCACTGGGTGGTCTCATCGGTCTTTTGATGATTAAGCCAATGGTTGATCTGATCGAGGCATTGATACCGTTCTGGGACACAACACATAATGTTTTTCATTTCTCGGATTTTGAGTTGACTCCTATGCTTGAGGAGATAACAGGTTATGACGGATATGACAGGGGTCTTAGGCATCAGTATCGAGTAGCCCCGAGAGCTGTGACCCCTCAAGAAGTTTTGGAACTTTTGAGCATTAACCGACAAGTTAAGAAAGAAAATTTGGCCGAAGGTTATTGTACCTTCCACTTTCTGTACAGCTGGTAGGGGGACCCTCACGGATTTGAGGCTCCAGACACTGGTTTGTGTCATCAAGGAAAGAAAAGCAAGTGGGAGTCGCGCAGAGGTTTAGCCTTCATAGTCGCATTTTGGGCACTCTGATATTCCCAAAGGAGGACGGACATATAGAGTTGGGCCTTGTAGGGGTGGCTGACTTTCTGGACAAGAAGGCCAATGGTACTCTCGTGCCAATGATCATCAAAGAGATTTATCGAGCTCAACCACTTGTCGACCTGAAATTCTTTGAGGGTTGTAATCTGTTATTGCAAATGTGGCTTGTGGAGCATCTTTGTTATCGTCCTAGATACATGAACTATGGGCTAACCAGACTTAGTTTCATTGAGGAGTACGAAAATAGGGTAAGTGGCTATGAGTTGCCGGAGGATGCTGAGGCTTGGTTCACACGTCTGTGTTCGCTAACTATAAATCAAATTGAGTGGACTTTCAGTTGGCTTTCAGTCAAAGAAGTTATCTACATTTCTACCGATGTGTGCTTTCTGCTATTGATGGGTCTTCGGAGTATTCAGCCTTACACTCCACATCGGGTTCTACGCCAGTTAGGAAGGTATCAAATGATCCCTCATGATGAGGATCTGAGTACATAGGTTGTTGAGTTACGCCCATGGGCTGATTTTCCGGAAGAAAAGGTCCGCCAAATTTGGCATCAATGTAGGTTTCTGGAGCCACAAACTCAGGTGCGGAATTTAGCATCCGTGGAAGTAGAGTCTAGCTATACGGCATGGTATGGTAACAGAGTTCGGGTTAATCAAGAGTCGGAACGGCCCGCCAAAAGGCCCAATCTCCAACAGTTCACAGATGGGGCATAAGAACATTAGGTTTGGTTAGCCAAAGAAAAAGAATATCGGGTCACCATCAGGATTTTTAAAAAAATTAGGCCAGAGCCATTAAATTTGAGAGTGATCTGCAAGCCACCGAAGATGAGGGAGAGAAGAAAAGGTTAGCTAGAGAAAATAAAGCCCTCTGAGTCCAACTCCGGGAAATGAGAATAGCCGCTGAGAGGGATGTAAAAAGTGAAAGAGACCAAAGAATCATGGGCAACTTGAGGCAAAAAGTGTACGACCATGCGACCGATCTAACAGAGGCCGAATTTTTTTTAGCAAAATCTCGGGAAAGGATGGTCCAATTGGGGAAAGATGCAGAAGACGCACGAGGTTAGTCCACCAAGAAAAGCAAAATTACGAAAAAAAGGTTGCAATTTTAAGGAAAGAGTTGGCCGCTCTTGAAAACGAGAAGGGTCAACAAGTAAAAGACTTCAAGACGGAGAGGGAGAATTGCTATGCATTGATTAACAAGGTGGAATGGAATGTGTTGAATTAGCAAAATCAGAACAACAATGCCATGCATATAGTGGAAGCCCGAGAATAACTAATTACATGTTGCTCCAGAACGGAATGCTACCAAGCTTAGAATCAAAGAAATAGTTGACTACACCACGATGAAGTGCAATGAATGTGAGGATATGACTAAAGATATGTTCTTTGCTCCAGTGTTGTCTTTCGCTCGCCATGCCATGGCCAAACTAGAGTTCCTCCATGATGAGCTTACATGCGGACTCGCATCGTGACCGACTAAAGTCACTGGGACCTAAGATTAGAGTTTGGTAGTCATCTATCTTTTAAATTGTATCAGTCATTTCAATTATCGAGTATGTAGTTTACTTTTCTTGCTTCGAGTCTGTTTGTCTTTCGTCCATTTCGAGTCTGTTATTATTTTGCTCCAAGTCTGTATGTTTTTCTTTTAAAGTCAGTTGTCTATGTTTCCAAGTCTTTGTAATGAAAAACCCAAAAAGATTTTATTTATGAAATATTTAAAACCCCAAAAATTTTTTGCTTTCATTTTACATTCATTTCCCTTAACTATGTGATGATCTGATTCATGCGATGTCATGATATGTAGGCAATCCCCATCGGATGTGATTATATCCATCAACAAAGTGAGTGAAAAATAAACCCCAAAAAAGAGATAAATTAAGTGAAAAACAAACAAAAAAAAGAAAGAAATAAAGAGTGACAAAAAATAGGAGGATAAAAATCAAGAGAAAGAGAGCGTTAAACCAAAAGAGAGCCAGAAATCGTAGAAAGAGTCCAGATATTTAAAAGCCAGGATGAAACACGCGAGCGTTGCAAACACATGGTAGAAACATTTAACTATTTAGGTGCATTGCATCCCAACATGCGATTTCCTCAGGTGGTTGGTTCTTGTTGGTAATCTGGCTTTCCATCCTTACTTCACAAGATCTAAAGGAAAGGTTCCGATGGCCTACGAAAGCAATCCACACATTATCAAACCAAAGGATAGCCCGACATCGACTATTCCACAACTAGAATCAGCAACTGTTGAAGAGAATTGCGTCTCCGCATGTTGGAAATGTGGGATGCATGATCTAATGGTAGGGAACCATCGAGTACAATTCCTGGGTTCCCTGAGTTGATCCCAAGGTCGGGTGGGAATCCAGTGTCCCTGTGTCTAACCCATTCATCCCATGCGGGCACCCTCAAATGTCGTCTAACGGTCCTGGAATGCCTTCTATGGTTCACCCCCGGGCGCTGGTTTTTATGGAACCTCCAACATTGTTCTTCGCAGTGCCTGTCATCACCACGGTGCAACCGATCGTGCCCAGGCCGTGTTTTGAACCTCCGACATTCACATTCCAGGGCCAACAATTTCAGCAGGATATGACTTATATCGCTCTGGACTCATATACTCAACATCCAAAGTATGAGTTTCTGGCTGAACCAGAATGAATAGTCAAAAATCCCGAGCAGGAAGAAATGGATCGAAAAATAAAAATCCTGGAGCAGAGTTTAAAGAACATGCAGGGCCTGAGCGGCCAAAAGAGTGTCTCCTACTCTGACTTGTGCATGTTTCCCCACATCCATTTACTATCTGGTTTCAAAATGCCAAAATTTGAAAAGTACGATGGGCATGGAGACCCAATCGCCCATTTGAAAAGGTACTATAATCAGCTAAGGGGTGCTGGCAGAAAAGAGGAACTTATAATGGCATACTTTGGAGAGAGTCTGGTAGGAATTGCCTCTGAATGGTACATAGACCAGGAAATCTCTCACTGGCACGTATGGGACGACCTTGCCAAAGATTTCGTCTGCCAATTTCAATACAATGTGGATATTGCTTCGGATAGAAACTCCCTACCTAATCTGAAAAAGAAATCCACGAAAAGTTTCCGTGAGTATGTTGTTAAGTGGTGCGAGCAGGCTGCCCGTGTGAAGCCTCCAATGGATGAGACATAGATGGTCACGACTTTTTTGCAGGCCCAAGAGGCCGACTATTTCCAAAACATGATGTTTGCCATGGTAAAGCCATACACTGAAGCCATAAAGATTGGGGAAATGGTTGAAACGGGTTGAAAACAGGACGGATATTGAGTCAGTCAGCCCTTAAAGATACATCGCAAGCCATCCAGAGAAGAGGTAGTCATGATGGCTTCAAGCTTGAGGTGGTCTCGCAGATCATTTAACCAATCTTATATGCCACCCCGAACCCCCAACATTACTACCCACACTGTGATGTTGTATACGTCGTGGCACCGCCTCCTTGTGCGATGATGAACGCACAACCCTACATACGGCCCCGATAAAATTACAATCAAAACTGAGCTCCACCTCCCAGAAATAACCGTCCTTACCAAGCTCCATATAATCCTCGCCCACCACAAAATACACCCCAATATAATCCATGGCTCCGCGAGTCTCCCGGAAGAAAATATTTCACCCCCATCGGTGAATCATACCCGAGTTTGTTCTAGAAGTTGAACCAATTGGGTTTGCTACAACCTGTGGCTCCGAATTGGCCAACCCCGAGTCTCCGACATACCTGACTGATACCAGATGTGCATACCACTCGGGGTTGGTAGGCCATGATACAGAAGATTGTTGGACCCTCAAGAGGGCGGTTGAAGACTTGATTGAAGTGAAAAGAATTGTGCTGAGGGATGAAGAGGCTCCCAATGTAACTAATAATCCATTGCATTCTCATAATAACGGGCCAGTTATCGGTATGATCTGTGATGATGAAAAATTTAACATGGCACTGAAGGCTACTATTTCCATTGCTAGTTTGGTGGAAAAACCTAAAGCAGCAGCAAAACCGACAAAAATTAAAAAGAAAATAGCTCCGGTCCCTCAGGTCGTTGAAACGAAAGCTGAGTGACACCTGCCAAGAATTTGGTTCTTTATGTTCTAAAAGCCCCGAGGAAAGAACAACTTGTCCTCAGCACTCCAAAGAAGTTTGATGAAAGGAAAGTTACATTGAACATGCCAATGTGGTACGTACCGAAGGGAACACATATGGCCCGATGGCCGATGATATCACCAAGGTTGACTAAGCTTATCAGTCCCACACCACAGAGTCCAATGAAAGATCCTATAGTAGTCCCTTGTAACTACAACAGAACCGTGGTTACTTACAAGGGGAAAGAAATTGCGGGGGAAGTAAATGAGATGACTCGGTCTGGGAGGTACTATACCCTGGATGAGCCAAGTAAAGCTAAACAAAATAGGGACAACCATATGCCACCAAAAAAAACCGTGAGCAATGAAGAAGCGGAGGAATTCTTTAGGAAAATGAAAACCTCGGAGTACTCAATAATTGATCAACTCCAGAAAACTCCCTCCAAGATATCACTTATATCTCTATTGGTGAGTTCATATGAACACCGAAAGGTGCTACTCAAAACATTGCACGAAGCCTATGTCCCAGATGAAACTACTGTTGTACGATTGGAAAGAACGGCCGAGAGATTTTTTGAGGTTAATAAGATCTCATTTAGCCGTGATAATTTGCCTGTATATGGAGCTTCCCACAACAAATCCCTCCACTTGACTGTTGGATGTGAGGGCTACTATGTGAAAAGGGTTATGTTGGATGGCGGGTCTGGAGTAGATATTTGTCCCCTCTCAACAATCCAGAGGATGGAAATTGGTACAGAAAGAATTCGGGCCAACAATGTGTGTGTGCGAGCCTTCGATGGGGTTAAGAGGGATACAATCGGAGAAATTGATCTAGTTTTAACTATTGGCCATGTGGACTTTGAGGTTACCTTCCAAGTCCTGGACATGGAAACCTCGTACAATTTTCTTCTTAGCAGGTCATGGATTCACGCTGTCGGAGCTATTACGTCCACTCTCCATCAGATGATCAAGTTTGAGCACGACAATCAAGAAATCATTATCAATGGAGAAGATGAGCAGTCTATTTATCGGGACCCCTCAATCTTGTGTCTTGAAGCCAGGGAGGGTATTGAGCACATCGTGTATCAAGCTTTTGAATTTGTGGTCGCTGACCAGTTTGAAGAGGGGCCCCCTCTACCTCAACCTTGATTGTCCAATGCTTCAATTATGGTTTCCACCCAAATGATCAAAAATGGGTACAAGCCCGGATAAGGGCTTAGGGCATTACTGAGCCAATTTCCCCGATCGTGAATGAGAAGCCTTTTGGGTTGGGTTGCTGAGCTACATTAGCTAACAAAACATGGGTTGGAAAATTCAAAGAAAATAGGTGGGTCCTGTCATAGCCCATCCCACATCTCTCCCGGTCATTTGTCAATCAAAGTATGTGGAGGAAG